ATTTTATATTTTATCTATATTATTTTATATTTTTAATTTTATCAGATATGAATTTTAATATACATATACATATAAGAGAAATTAATCAATTGCAATTAAAAACATTATATTAATATCGTTGAACATTATGATAATATTGTTTGATTCTCAAATTAAGCGTGATAAAAAATAGAAAGTCTAGGATAAATAAAACATTGAAATGATATTTTTAACAGTTATTTCTTTTTTTTATAATATATTATATGCATATATGTGTTATAATTAACTTTTTTGCTCTTGTGATATCTCGATTCCTCGTGTTATTTAGTCGCAGTAATAACTATAGGACGAAGGATTTAAATGACAGAAATGCATATCTCATTATGCGTTATTGCGCGCAAAGTGCGTGTTGTGACTGCATGTCGGATCGCCGAAAAAAATCACATCGTCTCGAGTACAGTGCAACACTTGTACTCTCGATATGAGATGCTATCGTCTATCTACTGCAAATTAGCGAGTGCGTTATAAGTGGACCTTCGATAATACCCGCTAATTCCTTGCAACGCGCGGAATGTTATATAGGGTGTTGCTTTATTTTTATATGTATAGGATAACGCCGGATTTTGAGACGCGATTTTTTCCTTCGGGGAACTAAAAATAAAAAAATATATTGAAATAAAACTAAAAAGCAAACAATTTAGAATTCAAAAATATAGAATAAATATCGATTGCATGTACTTTTTATTTGCAGGAACAGAGAAGCTTGAAAGCTGGCGATCTGTCGCATCAGGAGAGCAACAACATGGCAGCATCTACGATGAAGCTCCAGAGCGACTCGTTCACTTCCGAAAAGGTAAAAGATTTATATAAAAGATTTTGTAACTTCATCATAATATTTTTTTCATACTTTACATAAAGTAATTACCAATTAATATCCATATATATATCTTTACGATCATCAATAAATTATGTAGAAAATAAAACATAATAATATAAAATAATAATTAAAAATTTATTTAGAACTTAAAAAAATTAAATAATAACTTAAAAAATTCTTTGATAGGTATGTGAAATAAAATGTTCCTTAAATAATAAATAAGATAATACGTCATTTCAATATGGTTGATGATTTAAATCATTTATAATATTTCGAAGATACTGTTTAAGGTTTATAAAATCGCAAACCATAAGTTGGTATTTCGCAATTATTGTATTAACTTTATAACTATTGAATAGGATTTTATTTACATGAAACTCTTTTCGCGATTGATCGAATATTACGACAACGTATGATGCGTTGTTTTGCAAATGCGAGGAAAAACGCGAGGCGCAGTTTTCTCGGTTTACATTCGCACTTCTGGCGAACCACCAAACGCTAAAACATCACACGGGTAATAGTAAATCGTCATCCTTAACGACGATAGAGAATACGATCGGCGGCTGCGCCGCGTTTTGGCACACGGGATCGCGTCGGCGTTTAATGCATTTTTGCATCCGCGATACACCGGGCGGTGATTTAAACGCCGGCGAGCTCGCAGTCGGGCTTCAGTCGAAAAGTGAATTCGCGTGATTCGACAGCGACCGCGAGAGAGAAGCGTACCCACACCGATTTTGCACATTTCCACGCATTCGTTCAAGAAAACGCGATGATGCTAAGGAAGTGCAGCCTCGACTCGCGAATGGTAAACAAACGCCATATTGTGAAAAATGTTTTATGAGATTTTTATTATTGTGTATTAATTAGTTGCCTGCAAATTCTGTATATTAATATTTTGTGATCATTATACATATGTGTTAGAATATTTCGAATTCTTTAATTGAAAAATTTACAAGAATATATTTTTAAATAGAGCAATCACAATTGTAAAGTTATAGAAGAGATTATATAGTATATTTATGCATATATTATCGATAAAATATGTAATTGCTAAATATTAAAACGTTCGCTTGTGGACAGATATTTATTGAAAATATTATAATTGCTGATCTTTAATTATTTAAATTATTGGCAAAAATATTTATTAGAGATATTATTTGAAATACATTATACAATGATAAAATATTTGTAAAATATTGTAAGCTCTTTAACAATAGTGTGTGTATTTACTTGAGAATTTGTAATGAAAAATCGTAAACTTTTGGTTCATTTTTTACACCATGGACTGATAACAAAACAATGCGCAGCTGATATACCGCTACAGAATATGTCATTCGTACCGCATTAAACTTTAATTAGCAAGCAATTAGTGGAGGGGAGTTTATACTGAGAGAAAATGCGCTAAGAGTGTTAAGTCATGAGAAAATAGAATACGTAATGCGTATCAATAACACGAGTATTATGATTATAAGAAGAAGCAAAAGAAAATCTTGCCAATTACAAAGAATTATTTAAGATTAAAAATAAATAGAAAAGAAGGTGCATTACTTGTTAAGTAAAGATTTTTAAATGGATATCCAATTGCAAATTTTATCATACATTCTTATAGCGTAATTCAATAAAAAATATTAATAAAACTAATTCCTAAATGCTTGTCCAGTCTGATTATATTGAAGAATAACAATCTTATTGACATCCTCAATAACATACTTTGTTTCTCATCACTATTCTATGCTAAACATCCTGCTAACCCCTGAAAATCATCAAGAAGAACATTTTAAAACACATTTGAAGTACATCCCTCCTAATATTTGCCAAACTTAACAACATCCTTAATAATATTTTTCGAGATCTTCATGAAAATGTCTTTGATTTAAATAGAGCAATCACAATTGTAAAGTTATAGAAGAGATTATATAGTATATTTATGCATATATTATCGATAAAATATGTAATTGCTAAATATTAAAACGTTCGCTTGTGGACAGATATTTATTGAAAATATTATAATTGCTGATCTTTAATTATTTAAATTATTGGCAAAAATATTTATTAGAGATATTATTTGAAATACATTATACAATGATAAAATATTTGTAAAATATTGTAAGCTCTTTAACAATAGTGTGTGTATTTACTTGAGAATTTGTAATGAAAAATCGTAAACTTTTGGTTCATTTTTTACACCATGGACTGATAACAAAACAATGCGCAGCTGATATACCGCTACAGAATATGTCATTCGTACCGCATTAAACTTTAATTAGCAAGCAATTAGTGGAGGGGAGTTTATACTGAGAGAAAATGCGCTAAGAGTGTTAAGTCATGAGAAAATAGAATACGTAATGCGTATCAATAACACGAGTATTATGATTATAAGAAGAAGCAAAAGAAAATCTTGCCAATTACAAAGAATTATTTAAGATTAAAAATAAATAGAAAAGAAGGTGCATTACTTGTTAAGTAAAGATTTTTAAATGGATATCCAATTGCAAATTTTATCATACATTCTTATAGCGTAATTCAATAAAAAATATTAATAAAACTAATTCCTAAATGCTTGTCCAGTCTGATTATATTGAAGAATAACAATCTTATTGACATCCTCAATAACATACTTTGTTTCTCATCACTATTCTATGCTAAACATCCTGCTAACCCCTGAAAATCATCAAGAAGAACATTTTAAAACACATTTGAAGTACATCCCTCCTAATATTTGCCAAACTTAACAACATCCTTAATAATATTTTTCGAGATCTTCATGAAAATGTCTTTGATAAGGCTTGAAAATTAATCGACGAACGATATTTTTGATGCAGAAAGCGATGGCGGCGCAGCAGCAACGACAGACAGTCACATCGACCGGCATCTTCAACCACGAGAAACACATGGCGTCAAGCTCGCAATCAAGCATCACGATCGCGTCCAAGTCGGGTGTGAGCGCATCCAAGTCGATGATCAACGCGGCGAGTGCGGTTAATCAGCTGATGAACGGTATGCGACCGCCAACGGCCGAGGACGAGCTACTATCCCTGCCATTGGACGATCTCGACTTACTGTGTTCTAAGTCGAATCCGCAGGATGTGGACTGCGCGATCGCCAAGTACTGTAGCCTGCTCGACAGCTTCGTTGAACGACTGAAGGCAAGCGCCGACGGCAGCAAGAGCAGCAGCACCGGCAGCAAGGCACCGCAGTTGCTGAATAGGGTAAACGAGATCATTCGGAAAGCTTGGGCGGTGCCGACTCATGGCCACGAATTGGGCTACACCCTATGCAATACCTTGAGAACACGCGGTGGACTCGACCTCCTAATGTCGAATTGCGTTGCGAACGATCACGAGCTGCAATTCTCGTCAGCGAGGCTACTGGAGCAGTGCCTGACTACGGAGAATCGCGCCCACGTAGTGGAGAACGGCCTGGAAAAGGTGGTAAACGTAGCGTGCGTGTGCACGAAGAACGCCAATTCGGTAGATCACGCGCGCGTTGGCACTGGGATCCTCGAGCATCTATTCAAGCATAGCGAAGGCACGTGCAGCGACGTGATCCGGCTGGGCGGTCTGGACGCGGTGCTATTTGAATGCCGGAAGAACGACGTGGAGACACTGCGACATTGTGCGGGAGCGCTCGCAAATCTGTCGCTGTACGGCGGCGCCGAGAATCAGGAGGCGATGATCAAGCGTAAAGTGCCAATGTGGCTGTTTCCACTCGCCTTCCACAACGACGACAACATCAAGTACTATGCCTGCCTTGCGATCGCTGTATTAGTCGCCAACAAGGAGATCGAGGCGGCCGTGCTCAAGTCCGGCACCCTCGACCTCGTCGAGCCGTTTATCACATCACACAACCCTTACGAGTTTGCCAAATCGAACCTGGCGCACGCCCACGGCCAGAGTAAGAACTGGCTGGAGAGGCTCGTGCCGGTCTTGAGCTCGAAGCGGGAAGAGGCCCGCAATCTGGCGGCTTTCCACTTCTGCATGGAGGCGGGTATCAAGAAACAGCAGGGCAACACCGAGATATTCCGGACAATCGGCGCGATCGAGCCACTGAAAAAAGTTGCCAGCTGTCCCAACGCGATTGCGTCCAAGTACGCGGCTCAGGCGTTAAGATTGATCGGCGAGGAAATTCCGCATAAACTCAGCCAACAAGTACCTTTGTGGTCCACCGAGGACGTCCGCGAGTGGGTGAAACAGATCGGCTTTGCTGAGGTTGTCCCGAACTTTGTGGAGAGCCGGGTGGACGGCGATCTGTTACTGCAGTTGACGGAAGAGAATCTACGAGAGGACATTGGTCTGACGAACGGTATTATGCGCCGGAGGTTCGCTCGAGAGCTACAGAATCTGAAGAAGATGGCCGATTACAGCAGCCGGGACACCGGTAATCTAAATAGCTTTCTGCAGTCGATCGGCCAAGAGTTCTCCATTTATACGTACAGCATGTTGAACGCCGGCGTGGACAAGGATTCGATACGCAATCTCTCGGAGGATCAGTTGCTGAACGAGTGCGGTATCGCCAACAGCATTCACCGAATCAGGATACTCGACGCTATCAAGAACATGCAGCACAATCAATTCAGCTCGTGCGAGTATGAATCGCCGGATAAGTCGCTCGACGTGTTTGTCAGTTATCGCAGATCGAATGGCTCGCAACTGGCGAGTCTATTAAAGGTGCACTTGCAGTTGCGCGGCTTCTCGGTGTTCATCGATGTCGAGAGGCTAGAAGCTGGCAAGTTTGACAACAATCTGTTGCAGAGCATCAGGCAGGCTAAACACTTTCTCCTTGTGCTCACACCCTCGGCTTTGGAGAGGTGTATACAGGACACAGAGTGCAAGGACTGGGTTCACAGGGTCAGTCCTGATATTCGTTATTTTGTTCATTCCTTTTTTCTGCAGTTATAAAAGACTGAAGAGATTTTCTAATCTTCATTTGTATTAAATTTTAATGAAAATATTATATGCTTATTTTTTATTTGCTCGTTTTATTAGGCTAAGAGCCATATACATGAAAAAAAAAAAAATTTTTTTTTTATGAATGACGCTTTTTAAAGAATTTATAAAAAATAAGAAAGAAAGAAAGATATATTATCTTCCAAAAAACATTTTTAAGGAAAAAATCTATCTCAAAAAATATTAAATTAAATATTACTTTGAAATATTATATGATAAATTTTATAATGTTCAGTTATTTTTCAGGAAATCGTTGCCGCATTGCAATCACAATGTAACATAATCCCTATCATTGACAACTTTCAATGGCCGGAACCTGAGGAACTTCCCGAGGACATGCGGACGGTCTGCCACTTTAACGGTGTTCGCTGGATTCACGACTATCAAGACGCCTGCGTAGACAAATTAGAAAGGTAAAGTAAGACCAGTCTTTTATCTAATCTTAAAATTTTCTTGTATCTATAGTTAAAAGGACATGGCTTGAAACAAGAAGAAAAAAGATAACTTAATTTTCTAAATTCTAAAACAATAGTTAAACTTTTAGGGATGAGAAATAATTTTGTTCTAGTATATAACATATAATTATATATATCTTTGTTATTATTTAATATTTTTATTCTATCAATATATAATTTTTATGCAATTATACCTTAAAATGTATATAAACACCAAAATAATTTTTCGATTTTTGTTTCTCACAACGTGAAGGTTTATGCGAGGCGAAATACCTATGAGATCTGAGGTCTTGTCCGCCGGACTTCCGCGCAGCATGGCGCCCAAGGACGTGACCCAGCCGAGCACACCGGGTAGCACGAACATACGACAGCCGCCTAACTATCAGCGGATGCACAGTAACGAGAGCAGGGGCAGCGACAAAGATTCCACGGGCGGGCGAGACTGACTAGATGGCCCGCCCACAGCCATACCGAGCAGGTAGTTATCCCTGATAATTTATCGTAGCTCTAATATATCGGGTTTAATGAGCGAATCGATTCATCAAAACGTCCAGAAGAAAATCTAAAATATTTTAGATTCCATTAAACTGTAGCAGAACTAAGCCCTGACTTGAGCATTAATGGAGCTAGGCTGAACTATGAATTAAAAATTCATTAATAATTAATTTGCATTATTAAAAGTAATTGAGAGTAATGAAAGTAAATTTAATAATAATTTAATTATATAATCTTCAGTTTACTATGTAACTGAAGATTATATAATTAAATTATTATTATAAACCAAATAACTTTTAATATTTTAAATTTAAATTAATAACTATGTAAGATAATATATAATTTAGTAAGAAACCAAAGTTTAAATATCTGGAATCAATTTAATTATAATAGATAAAAAGAAGTTTTTAATAATTTGAATTATTGGATTTGTACTGAGCGTTAACGATCAATTTACGATTTGAGGCGAGCTCTACTAACGCAACGCTAATTTCTTTTTTTACGCAGCCAAGATTGCGAATCGCTCTATGACAATCACGACTAGGTCAGTCAGCGATACAAATTTTTTATTGGTGTTTAAATGGTGTCAACCCGTCACCATCCCGTTGTTTTGCCAAACCTTTGCATTAAAATATTCCTCTCTTTAGTGCATTTTCAATCTTAATTGTATCCTATTACACGTACATGTATGTGCTTGTTGTAGATGTATAGTTTAAGATGGAGGTTTAGGTGAAATCTTGTCTAATTGAGTGTTGAATGTTTACATAGTCTATGTGTGGAATAAATATATATAATCTTTTAAAAATAATTAAATTTAAATAATCTTGAATTCTTAATGTAAATTCGAATAATAGATTCCTTGACGATATTAAAATTTATTGAAATAAAAAGATTTTCCAAGAATATATATAATAATAAATATAAAAATTTAAATTTTCTACACATAGACATCGTTATGTATATATGTCCATTATTGGGGTCCAAGCGGTACAATTGCATGATGTAATTGTATCAAATAAGTCTTTGATGTTCGGTATAAGAAAATTAGGAAATAAATTCAAAATATCAAATTTTTAGGGAAATACATAAATATTAATTCTTTAAATGATTTATAATATATCGTAGATTTTAACAAAGTAATAAAGATTTTTAATACGTAATTTAAACTTTAAAATTTAGTTGTAATGCGACGAATTTTATTCTAATTAAAAATACATAATAATATATGTGAAGGTATAAAGTTCTTTTTATACTTAACATCGAAGGAATTTTAAAAATATATATAAACAGATAAAATAAAACACACGGGAAATGCAAGTTTACGAGTTTTGTTTTTGCATTCTAGGCTTAAAAAATCGTCGAGTCCGTCCCGTTGGTTGATGGGTCTGCCACCCACGTCACCACGCTTCAAATTCATGCACGCGCATTCAGGGAATGCCATCGGCAGTCCGGCAGTACCTCGCAGGCCGCCACGACAGCCTCCTTCGCCATCAACGCGTTCGCGTTCTTTGGAACTGCTAGACCAGCAGGAACAGGAGCGGAAGATGTCGGTCTCCTCTGCAATCGTTCAAAGACCACCGCTTCCCAGACCCAGACCAAGGTCACGCAGTCTGGACGATCTTCTGGATGAAGACGTGAAAAGCGGCGCGGAGGAGTCCTGCGAGGAGCAAAACAAAACGCAGTGTGAGAAAAATCGTTCACTGACAAATCCAGAGGAGAATAAAACCATCCCTGCTTCAAAAGAAAATCAAAAGAAGTCTAATACCGAAGGTATCGAGTCCAAGGATGAACCAAGACCGGTTCCCCGGATGAAATCGAAGATACCCGACGCTGTCGAATTCCAGTCCGAGATGGAGGATGCGCGAACGTCCTCGAACAAGGATGAAAATGACAAAGAAATTTTGTCAACGCGTCCTTCGAAGCCGAGTCGATATTCTAGTTCGGAAGAACAGTCTTCGATAAGTTCCAGCAAGCACTCTAGAAATCAAGAGCATCAGGTAGAAGAACAGAGAATCAGGGAAACGGCACAAGAGAGGCTGACGACGCGAAGTAACGACGAGAAAGACGACTACAACGATGACAAGTCGACGATATTGCTGAAAGCATCGAGAAGCTGTGGTGCGGGACTGGATTCTGACGGAAGCATCTCGTCAAGTGAATATGGCGGGCCCAGGGCTCGTGCGAAGGGCCCGGGCTCGCTATTGTCGTTGCCAGCAGGCGCAGAACCTAAACGCAAGCGAAACTTCATGGATAAGTGCGTGAACAAGGTGCGGTCGTTTATGAAGAAGTGAAGCGAAGAAAAACTTCTTGTTATTTAATTCCGTGGATCGAACCGTAAGTTGAAAATCGAACGCGAGGCGCTATGGAAGATGTCTGGAGGATGAAAATAATATAAATATCTTTGATCATCCAAAAATCACACGCGAATTTTAGATATCTAAAAAAACATTAAAAAGTTTCCAGAAAGTCTCGTTGGTAGTTTCAGGACTTTTAAAAAAAATTTAGATATCCAAAAAGTATTTATATAGAAAGAAACGTGAAAAGAAGTTTAAGCTTCTTAAAAAGTATTTTAGATTTCTAGAATCATACACTAAATCTTAGATTTAGTTTAAAAAATTAAAAGGCGCATTTAAAAACTCTATTTAAAGGAAGTGTAGTCGAGGAAATTATTTAAATATCTTTTAAACGTTGTTTGGGAGTCTTCGGTGTCTTTCAAGCCATTGTTTGCGAAAATTTTCAGCGGTCGCTATCGGCGATTTCTGAATTTCGCAGCACTGAATAACTTCGCGTATTTACTCTCGTGATGCGAAGATATATTCTGAATTTCGTGCGGAGTTCGTGATCTGCATCGTGTACAGTGACAGGCAGCATGAAAGTATATAGCGAAATGTTGTGCCTAAACATGCGACAAGTGTCTTCGTAGAAGTCCCAAGATTCGGGATACGTATGTTTACGCGAATTTAGCCTGCTTTTCCAGGTGCTCTTTTGTATTGTATTTTTCTCTCGTTGAATTGTATTGTATACATTATACATATACACTACATTGTATATGTTAGAAACGAACGAACGCATCGAGAACGTTTAGCTAAGGCGGCTAGGTCGTTATTTGTAATACTATTTTTCTAGACAGTTCTTTTCTTTTAGAGAACTTCGCGTTTAAAGACGCGTGTGACTCGCATGGTCACGAATGGTTGTTTTTGTCGCAGCTAATACCAGAAACATGTTATACACAAGCGCACGGTGTGTTCGGTAGTAGTGTTCGTGGTCAAGCGACATTCCTTCTTGAAAGCGAAGAAGATCTTTGTGAAAAGTCGAAACAGAAAGGAATTTTTTCCTTATTAATATTTAATCGAATGTATGCCACGTTGGTTTTTTCTTTTCTTTGTGCAGCTCTTAGAATATTTTCGAATTTAAATATCTTGGTAGCTATACTTCGAGTTAAGATTCCATTAAAATAGAACTCATCTAAAATTGGTTAAAGAAAAAAGCTTTACTTGTCAATTTATACGATTCCTACTTTCCCATTCTAAAATCTCTATGTTTTCAATCGCGCGCGACCGTGAATTATTCACATCTCAATATTATCGCCAGGAAAAAAATGGTATCAACTTGCGGTAAGGTACGTTGCGCGCAATAAACACGCTCATTACCGAACATCCGATACACAATCGTAACCGTCCCTCGAGTCGCGCGATATTTTATTATTTAACACTGTTTTTATCGTACCAATTGCTGATACTCGGCTCTCGCCGAAAGTCGACATGGCAACGCTTCGATATTCGTAGCTTAAGAGATCCGCCTGATTATCGTAAAACTGTATATTTTACCAAAGTTTCATAAAGTTACGAGTTTTATCGAGATGTTTGAATGTTTCTCAAAAATAAATTTTATTTAGCGAAACAACATCGCTTCTCCCCAGCTCCCTTTTTTTGAGTGCCTCGAGGAAATATTGCATGAGAAAATCGTTCATGGAGAATTGCATTTTTTGCATTTTTTATTCGTTTTTTTTTTTTTTT